TATTCAGGCGTTAACGAACCTTCTTTATTTCTTTTTCATCGTCACAAGTATACAACGAATCTTATTAACATCTTAAAACAATCCAACATGGGGATCAACAAGGTATCACTGTTTAATATTATGTACTTGGTATACACATTACAGGTAATTTAATTAGATGAATTTTAATATACTCGTTAATTTGAATACTTTTCTATGAATATTATACAGTGTATGTATAAATAAGTGTATGCATTTATGTACGTATTTACATAAAAAAATTCAATGCCCCATTTGTTGGTTTGAATCAATGAAGTTCAAAATTAAAACGATTTTAATGAAACTTTTTATTTTGTTTGATTATTTTTATTTTTTATTGTTAATTTAAGGATTTATTGTTTATACGTTATCTAGGTATCTAAGTTCTGTAAGTTTTCAATAGATGGTGTAATATTACTATTCAATTATTTTAATACATTCACGTCATACGTTGTTCAGATTTACATAACACAACTAACCTCACTTTATTTATTTTCAATGTTCTTATAATTTATTATAATATAGTTTAGAATTATATTAAATCAACATTTTATGATACATTCGTTAAATCGAATACTTTTCTATGAATATATATATATATATGTAGATATATGCGTAAAAGTAAATATATATATATATCTACATAGATGATCGTAGTTGTGAGCTTTCGCAATTAAGGGTTAATTAAATTGAGCGGCTTCCTAGATTTCTGTAATCATCGCGGACAGTATCTGCGGGGTAATCTTCAGCGCATCCTGTCTGCCTTAAGGCCCCACGGAAGGAAGGGGCCCTCGAGCTAAGGTCATGCACCCCGCTGACCTCGGACCACTGTCTTTCTCTTTCTCTTTCTTTCTTTCTTTCTTTCTTCTTCTTCTTCTTCTTCTTCTTCTTCTTCTTCTTCTTCTTCTTTAGCGGACTCTTCCTCCACCTTCGTAATTTTTTCTTTTTCTTCTGCTTCTTCTTCTTCTTCTTCTTCTTTTTCTTATAAGGATCTTGTGAAAGAGAGAGAGAGAAAAGGATACCGGTCGAGCATACTACACACGGACGTTACGTGCCCCGGTGCGAAGGAACTCGAATTATTATCAAAGAAGACCGGGGCATCGGATAATGGGCGGATGTCGCTGTGACAGAACAGAAAACCCTATCTCGCGGAATTTCTGTGGGAAGAAACTGTACGGACGTTCATAATTCCCCCCACCCCACCCCCACCCCTTTCACAATTCTCCCCCCACCACTATCATAACTCTTCATTCCATTTATCCCACTTTGTTCCTTTTCATTTTATTCGAAAGTTTTATTTTGATAACAAGTAAGTAGTATTCGTTTTTATTTATATCATCATTGAAACTTATCGCAAGTATTTTATATATATATATATATTTTTTTTTTTGGCGGGAAAAAACTTCTTTTACTGTATTTTTTTTTTTTTTTAAATTGAATTGATACATATATTAATTATTTTAAAGATCAACTGTACAGTTTAGTCATAAATATTTTTACAATTAAAGTTAGTTAATGGGGGATTGAAAAAAAATATTTTGTAATACAAGTTACTGTAAATATAGTAGTACGTCTCGTAAAATTATATTGCATTTGAATAAAATACAAATGAAATTGAATACAAGTAACCAATATTCATTTTTGTTTATATGATTAAAACTTATCGGAAGTATTTTATATTTTTGTTTGGCGAGAAAAAATTTTTTTACTGTATTTTGGAAATTAAATTGCTAGATATTTTGATTTTTTTGACAGATCAAAATTTTGTAAAGATCAATCGTACAGTTTAATCGTAAATATTTTTACAATTTGAATTAGTGGACGAGGTAAACGAAATTTTGTAATACGAGTTACTGTAAATATCGTACGTCGTTGTAAAATAATATTGCATTTGAATAAAATACAAATGAAATTGAATAATAAATATAGAAATAAACAAATATATATATATATATTTATCATTTTCAAACTAAATAAATAAAATGGAAGAATAGTAACAAGTTGAAATATCATTACGATCAAAATCATAAATATAAAAATTATTATAAAAACCCTTCAAAAAAAGGAACCAAGAAAAAAATACAGACCATTAATAAAAATCTAATGATTATTAAAAAATCATCTCTCTCTCTCTCTCTCTCTCTCTCAATCAAATTTTATCTTTTAAATGTTAAATCGAATAGAATATAATATGACCATTATTTCAGTTTTAAGTCCCAAACAAACAAGGTCAAAGATTCTTATCTGCATTAGCAAAGAATCAAGTTCGAACGTTCCTTCTTCTTGAAGACTTCAAGAAGAAGAAGAAGAAGAAGAAGAAGAAGAAGAAGAAGAAGAAGAAGAATAAGAAGAAGAAGAAAGAGGGAAAGGGTAACGTGGGGAAGGGGGCATATTGAAAAGTGGGGATAAGGCGTGAGAACACCGTCGGCCTTTCCGTCGGCCTTTCCGCAGGCCACTATTAACCCTGAAACTACTCTAAAGGGCCCCCCCCCCTAACCGACTACAAAATCGGCTTCTCTAAGACGACGTGTTTTGCAACATCTACCGATCTCTTATGTTGTGTTATCCTTTTCCACTATTTTTTTTTTTTTTTTTTTATAAACGTGCTCAAAAAAAGTTCTCAACGTGTTCTACAAAATGAGGATTAGATATTTGTAGATTATTATTGAGTAATATGATATTTTTAAACAATTCGTATGATTTGTTAATTTCATTTTGTTATGTTGGAATATTAAAGAATATTTGTTTTTTTTTTTTTTTTAATTTTATATTCAAATTTTGATCGAGTATTTTTTATAATATTTTGTAGAATTATCATTTGGTATTAATATATCGATGATTATTTACAATAATATTAATAATAAAATAAATAAATAAATAACTGATGATAATAAACACAATTACAATGATTAAAAAATAATTAAATTCTAATTCTAAATAATTAAAAATAATTAAATGAAAATTCTAAATAATTCAAAATAATTAAATTAAAATAAAAAATAATTAAATTAAAATTCTAAATAATTTAAAATAATTAAATTAATATTACAAATAATTAAAAAACCGATGATAATAAATAAATTAATATTTTTTTTTTTTTTTTTTTTATATAAACAATTTTAATCTCTAAAGAGAGATTATTTTGTAAATTAATATTAATTTAAAAATAAATTTCTCTTATTAATTGTAATAGTAAAAAATAAAAAGTAAAAACTGCCAATACTAAGAAAAATAAAAATAAATAAATTAATATTAATTTAAAGTGTATATTATATATCCACCCTTTTACATTCTCAAATTCCTTTTAAAGTTAAACCATGTGTTCTAATAAAAAAAAAAAAAAAAATAATAATAAAAATAAAAGTTAAACCGAGTATAATAATAAAATAAAATGTTTCTAATTTCTGATGTAGAAACATTAAACAATATAAGTCATTCTCTTTATTCTTCTAATTACAGTGATGTTCTTGTTTAATAAGGAGATCTTTTTTTACGATCTAATTTAATGAATCTTTCCAAAGAATTAGCCATACGTCATTTTCCCTTGTTCTCAACTTCCTCTTTTTTTCAAATCATTAAATCAAATGAGTTACGTTTGACGTACTAACCTTTAACTATACACAACACAACACATTTACACATATTTGCACGTATTTGCAAGTATTTATATACTAACATCCTAAGTGTACACGTGTACAAGATAATTAAGATAAAATATCATAGTAGTAGATACTTAGATAAAAAAAATAATAATAAAAAAAAAGTCAAACACAGAAATATAAATTTCATATAATTTTCAATTATCGTTTAAAAAAAAAAAAAAAAAAAGTCTAACACACTGTTCAGATATTGCGTTTGCACCAATGATTCATATTTTTGTTAATAATAATAATAATAATAATAATACTAATAAATAAAACAAAACTTAAAAAACAAACCAGCATTCGATTAATTTGCGGTTACAATCATTTTTGTTTTTTATGGTTTTTTTTTTAATTTTTTTTTTTTATTGCATATCCCAATGTTACTTAACTAAAGTGAACGGTAACATTCCGTATCCGCTTTTAATGCAAATTGGTTTAAAAGTGTATATGTAATATTAAAACTACTACCAACTTATGATTACTGTAATTTGTATTTTCTTAATTCTTACTAAAACACATCGTCCACGTGTGTTTCCCATATTAATTAAATTTTTTCTTATCACATGTTTTCAACAACAAAAAAAAAAGCTCCGTTACGCTAAATATAATATTTGTCATATATTTGAATATAAATAAAAAAAAAAAAAAAAATAAATAAAAATTAAATTGTCAAAGTTAATTAAATCTTAATAATAAAATTAACGTAACAGAATTTTTTTTTTCTTTTTATGATTGAGAAAGAGAAACAGAGATACGTAGTTTTGTTTGTTTGCAACAATTTTGAATACAAAGTAAAAAAAAAAAAAAAAAGAAAATAATAAAATAAAATAAAATAAAATAAAATTTACAAATTTATTCTAATAAATAATAAAATAATAAATTAATAATTTAAAAACAAAAAATTGTATCAATAAAATAAAATAATCAAATAAAATTTCAATTAAATTCATATTATGGTGAAATTAAATTACTATAAGTGTTGTCATAT